ATGGTTGAAGGAAAACATATATTTGACACGTAGCCTTTATACAAAAGTAGACTTTGAATAACTCTTACTTTAAAAGAAACATGATGATATCCGACGAATTCAGGTGCTAGAGAGTCAAGAAAGGGCTCATCTAATTTGTTAAGAACAACTTCTAATTTCAGAATGAAAATTATACGGTAAAGGGGACTTTACACATTGTTTGCTACAAGATCTTGTCTTTGAAGATTGCAATTCGAAGCCAAAATAGCAATGTTTTTGTTGTCTTTTGCTCTCTCTCCGTCAATGTTTCGTTTATTTTAGTTCTTTCATTCACAACAGAGTTATTTTATTATTAAATTCGTATCTCTACACGATATCATATGAGAAATTAAAGTACAAGTTATGAATAAAGAGCTAATAATGCAAGACAAAAATTTAAATATTTGGTTTAGACTATGCTTGAAATCAAGCAAATTTCTGATCTTCATGGGAACTTTTGTCAATTTGGGGTTTAATGAGCTATTCAAGTGTGTTTTTAATTTCCGTTTGGAATGCTAGAGTGAGGGGATTTCCCTTAATTCTTTGGGTATTTTGCTCCCAGCTTTATAAGCTCAGAAAGGTAGAATCTTTTTGTCAATGCGTTATCGTTTTTGTATCTTTATTAAGCCCGCTAGGCGCTCATCAGAAGCGAAACTTACCCAGAGTGGGGCTCATTCGAAAGTGGGGCTTTGTGAGAATTTTCTCTTCCAGAAAGTGGACTTATTCAAGGGGCTTGAATGTGGATGGGACCACTAGAGGACTCACGGCAGTACGGCAAATATTTTGAAAAGACCGAGTTACTTTACTTTTTTATTCAAAGTTATGCCTTTGCAAACGATAGATTCAACTACCATGGTGCGGTGAAAAAATGTTTTAGGTTCAATTATAACGTCATCCAATGAACTCGTTTTCAATCTGCTGTATCTATTTCAAGTTCCGCGCATGCAGGCAATTACATCATGAGGTGAAATCGTGTTTAAGTATAACGTTTCGTGATGTCATCGTGTCCTATTTATCGTCAACATTCAACATTGATTTCATGGACAATAACATCATTTTGAGATAACCGCTGAGCTACCAAAATGAAGGCGGCCAGAAGCCCTACCACCATACCCGCACGCCCCTTTGAGTGTTCTGTGATTAGCCTTCGTTCTTTAGCAGATGTCCAAGTAGCAACACGAAGCTAGGGGAGGGGCTGATGGAAGGGTTGTTCGAAAGGCTTGCAATTAGATTCGTAGAAGTGCAGGCAATTGCTCCCTCTTTGAGGTGTTTTGCAACTCGCACTTATTCAATTAATTGAGCATGAGTGCTTTGGCGATGTTTTTTGTCGTTTATTGGTTATCCTTAAGCTGATTTTAATCATGCATTTTTGTGCGCAAACAAAGTTTTCCGAAAATTCTCTTTTCCTCAAATTTTGCTAACAAACGAATGCATTTCAATGTTGATTGAAAAAGTAGACTCTGTTCCGACATCATACCAATTTTTGTTGACCTAGACAGGGAAAATTGATAGCCATGAATTGAAGGTAGACACTCCCTCGATTTCAGTTTCTAATGAAGTTTTACTCACACAGAAATGATTGTTGTTTTCTCGAGCGATAGTGGATAATAAATTCTAGCCCGCTCACTTTTTTGCTGAGGTATGAGATCAATTTGGGCCATCAAAAATAATGATGGTAAAATTACCGTACAAGTTTGCTAATTTGTCTTTGAGCCCCTCACATTGGGAACGTCTATTCCTGCGTCTCTGTACAGAACTCCAAATGGCTTTAAGGAGGCAGGCATATCAAGACATACATCTGACACTTTTCAAAATACAAAACATCAGAATAATAATCACAAATTTTAAGATACCCAGTTGTGGATCACATGGATCTATCAGAAAACAAAAGCTCGTCATTGTCGAGGCTTTTCAAAACGTTATCCCTTGTCTTTAGAAGATATAATGTGTAAGAAGGAAGAACCGCAGGATAGGCTGTCCGGATTCTGTGAATCTTGCAATAAGTGTTGTTATGAAAGATATACAGGAACAAAGCAGTACGACGACGAGAATCCAATGTCACGAGATAAAATTTTCAAAATAAATTGAATTTAAAGAATATACTAATATTTCGCCCCGGCATACAGGGCTTCATCAGAGTAAAAGGATTTTAGAAAGTATAATGACCCATCTAGTGACGTCATATAGTAAAACTCTGTAAAACTTACTTCCTTTCTTCAATTTCATTTTTAATCATTATTATGCACTTTAATTTTTTTTTGCAATTATATTTTTGTGAAATATAATAAGTGTAAATTTATAAATTTTGTTGCATTCATTGTATTAACGAATTTCAAAATGCATATTTTTAAAGTAATAGTGGATTTTTATTTATACTTTGTCCGTTGTCCCAAACGCTGTCTGTATTGTTGTCCCAGACGCTGTCTATATTGTTTGTAACAGGTTTTTGGAATGAGAGGTGTAAGTGAATCTTAAATTTAAAGCTCGTGCTTCAGACACTCGAATGAAACTACGCTGGGGTACTTAAAGTGTCTATGCAGCGAAATTTTATGTCCTGCTTTTTTTTAAGAGTTATATTTTCCTATCTTTTCCGATACGTTTGACACCAAAATTGTCGTAATTTGACCAGCAAAAGTGTGTTTAATCAGAGTTTGAAATTAGGTATGCTTGCGAAAATCAAGGCCAGTTTGTGACGTCACAGTGATGAGTTTAGACGACAGCAATCCGGAAACTGCGGTTGTCCAGAATAGGTTCTAGTGAGGGAGATATGAAGAAGAATTGTGCAAATTGTGATAAAAGCACCAAAATTTCAGAAAACACCAAGTTTGATACGCTGAAAAAGATGTGATATATACCCAAATCATATCTTGCCCATAGATCTATTTTTAGACTGGGGTACTCCGGTCAAGACCCCTAATTGTACCTTTGGTCATAAACGGGGAACGCCAGGCCATAGAAAGTTGAAATTCACAATAAAAAGACAATTTTACTAGACAAAAAAGATGTGATATAGACCCGATTCATAATTTGCCCCTAAATTCTATTTTTAGACTGGGGTACTCTGGTCCAGACCCCTAATTGTACAATTGGCCATAAACAGAGAACCCTAGTTCATAGAAAGTTGAACTTCACAATATAAAGGCAGTTTGACATGCAGAAAAAGATTAGATATCGAACCAAATCATATCTTGCCCCTAAATTCTTTTTCTAGACTGGGGTACTCTGGTCCAGACCCCTGGCCACAAACGGAGAACGCCAGGTCATAGAAACTTGGAATTCTCAATATAAAGGCAGTTTGACATGCAGAAAAAGATTAGATATCGAACCAAATCATATCTTGTCCCTAAATTCTATTTTTAGACTGGGGTACTCTGGTCCAGACCCCTAATTGTACAATTGGCCATAAACAGAGAATCCTAGTTCATAGAAAGTTGAACTTCACAATATAATGGCAGTTTAACGAGCCGAAAAAAATGTAAAATAAACCCAATTCATATGATGCCCCTAAATTCTTTTTCTAGACTGGGGTACTCTGGTCCAGACCCCTGGCCACAAACGGAGAACGCCAGGTCATAGAAACTTGGAATTCTCAATATAAAGGCAGTTTGACATGCAGAAAAAGATTAGATATCGAACCAAATCATATCTTGTCCCTAAGTTCTATTTTTAGACTGGGGTACTCTGATTCAGACCCCTAATTCTACCATTGGCCATAAACGGAGAACGGAAATTCTCAATATAAAGGCAGTTTGATACGCTGAGAAAGATGTGATATAGTTCCTATTCATATCTTGCACTCTAAAAATAGAGCAAGGGGAGCAATTTTCAGCAGGGTCCATATCCTATCATTTTAAGCCTATCAAACTGCCCCTTATTGCATGGTTTCATGCTATTCTACCAAAGTGAGACTGAGATACGATAATACCGTCAATAAAGGTCTAGGGCAAAGTATCCCAGTCTAAAAATAAAAAAGGGGGCAAATTCAAGTTGAAGTCTTTATCCTTTCATTCCTTATCGTATCAGATTGTCACTTGTTACAAAGTTTTATGTTATTGTACTTACTTACAGCAGATATATCGTAATATCGCCGCTAGAGTCTTGGGGCAAAGTACCCCAGCTAAAAATAGCTGAAGGGGGCAATTTTCAGTTCGGGTCCCTATCCTATCTTTTTCAGCGTATCAAACAGTCAATTATTGCAAAGTTTAATGCTAGTATCACAATTTGCACAATTCGACCTAATAATTTATTTAACAGGCCTGACTAAGTGGTTTCGCCTCGACTCATCACTGTGACGTCACAGCGGGAAATTGCGCAACGCAACTGCAAAATGTGCATACTTTGACACTCAATGAAAAAAGAACCATTTAACTTATCGGAATTCTGTTTATTGTATAAGAACAAGGGCGAAGGATTTTATAGATTTCTTTTAAAATATTGGAATGGTAAATTTCGCTGCATAGGCACTTTAAGCCTTAAAGCTTAAACGTACGTGATGTAGTTAAAACGCTAATGATGAAGAGTGTCCTGAAAACAAAATGATTGTTATCTATTTTATGAGTTTATGAACATGATAATAATACATTTTGTTCTAAGTAGTTTTCATGTTATTTTTGACAAATCGACGGGACTTTAGAAAAAAACATATAAAACTAAATAGAGGACCAGAAAGTTCAGAATTCAAGTTCAGAATAAAAATTTTGATCTTTTATCGCCAATAAAACCAAGATAAATAACAGAAAAATTTAATCTTGGTAAACCTAAAGAATGATGTTTAGCAAAAAAATGATTCTTAGAATATAGACAGAAAACAGACTGTATCCTACGCCATATTGCAAGCCTGTCGTTGATGCTGATTTATGCTTTGGTTAACACTATACAATCTTTCTTTATAAAAAAAATTAAATTTTTCTCGATATTCTAAAGAAATTCCAGCTATGAGCCTGAATATATTCTTAAAAGTTTTCTTAATTTTTCAAATCTGATTTCTTTTCAGGACGAGAACATCACCCGCAATCAAACAGAAACCACACTTTTTGAAAAGAACGAGGATGTCAGTCATGCGAGTTCCTGGTTTGGACATTGCAAAACAGGCGACTGCTGGCAAGCGCTGAGGCTAAGCAACATTCTTATCAAGAATTTGACGATTCTGAGCCTTAATATTCTTCTAAACAATGTTCTTATAAGAAAAGAGTGTAGTCAGTGTAGTCATAAAACGCTTTCCTTTTCGCAATGGCCTTGGGAAAGAATCGAAAGCTGGCTTCCATTTTCGAAAGCATCGAACAGCTTCATCCAAAGAGTGAAATTTTGAATTAGAACTTGTAAATAAAATGATAATGTCGTTATCTTTAACACATATGTTGATATTCTTATTGATTCATAGTGAAAACTGGATTGCGGCAACGAGACTGGGAAACAAAACCTATCTCGTTGATGCTGATTCAAATTATGCTGGTGAGTAGCAAAACATCTGTATTGCGACATAAACTATTGTAAGCAAAACATCTTTAAGCAAAAATCAAGCTTAAAACTGCAGAGCTACAAGCCAAGAGAAAGACAATGTTTTGTATGAAGTTAATTTTTTTGGAAAACATTTTTTAGGGGGGGGGGGTTAGGGCTAAAGCCTCCTTAGCCACATGCTTTCGCGGTCCTTGTGCTCGTTTCCCTCTTGGCATTAGGGAGGTTTAGATCTTGTGCGAGAACGAGTTCGAATTCAAGTTTCAAATTGCGCATTGTTGACAAAGTGTTGTGTATTTTTTTGAATTGTGTATTTTTACAGGGCATTTCATGGCCACTCAGTCAAAAACGTTTTGTATTTTTGGCCAGTTAGTGAAGCTCCTTCAAATGTGAATCCAGTTATACAGCCAATGTAGGACATATCGCATAGATTACGTATCTCATCCCCAGGGGTAACTTCAATAGGCAGGGAACGGGGGTTTGCCATTTTGAAATATTTTCTTAAAAACTCTACCCCAAAAATTAGAAATGATATGGAATGCATTCCCTTAAAAATGTATTTCATATTTGCAAAAACCGAAAAGATCATTTCATTTGTATATCATTTCAAGAATGTAAATGAAAAGATACCAGTACCTTTCTTATCAAAATGATATAAAAATTTAAGGGAGTGCTAAAAATCAAACCTAAAGCACATGCCCATGTTTTACCAAAATCGATAACTCAAAAATTATTTTCTTCTTGAAAAATGGTCCTCAAGAAATGGCACATTCTGTACCAGTGTATGTGGAAGTCCCCCCCGCCCCCCCCCCGACTCTTATCTTACCATGCATACTTAGATACAGTTATATATTTATACACATTGCTATTATTTTAATTGGTTATATGTTGGTTTTTAGTTTGCCAACTCATTATCACATCTATGTTTTGCTTATGATAGTTGGTATTAATTGCCTTTTTGTAATACGGGGCTCAATACGAACGCAAATCACCATATACAGATAAGGTCATATTCGTAGCTTCGTTCTTTGTTTGCAATAGTTGTAAAAAAAGCGGGGTTTTCTTTTTCTTATCTTTAAGTAGCTTTTGGGATTTATATACATAGAAAATATCATACATTTTCTTCGTAGAAGCTGAATTGGATGCTCAATATTACAGACAAAATTCTGAAAATCATCGCCAGAATCTAAGAGAAGCAAATTTTGTAGCAGATCTAAATGAAAAATCGATTGATAATTACAGCAACAAGTCAGCAATCTACTTGAAAATTGTTCACGGGAATTCAATTGACAGATATAAAAGCCAAGGTAGGTTGTCTTTTTTTAAAAACAGCAGGGATCTTCTAATTCACAAACTAGTTGTGATAATTTGAATCTTCCCATTGGTTTTGAAAGCTTTCCACTAAGCTTTGCTGCAATTTTAGATTAATGCATTTTTTATAACAAAATGACCGATTTTTAAGGGAAATGCATGCTTGATTCATATTGCATTTAGGGGGTGGGGGGGGGACAATTTCCTCATGATTGACTTCGTAATTGCTGACACTGTACACACATTCGACTCTCATCGACCCTTAATTACCCAACGTGTGGTGAAAAATTTGAAACAAAGATATAAGAATTTGATAAATTTTCATGATGCATCTCAGTCTAATACTGGGTTTATTTTAACGTGCAGTGATAACCAATTTGCGTGGTGATAAATCGTAATTGTGCAGTGATAAACCCAATTATGTGCAGTGATAAAACTAACATGAAGAGATTTGGTATTGAAAAAGTAAAATTGCAGCAACTACCGTTACCAATAGACAACAAAGTTTATACAAGAGCATAAAAAAGAGAACATAACAGTAACACTGATCATAATTTATGAAATCTCTCTAAAATTTGATCGAATCCAGTCTCTAGCTTGTTTTGCTCTTCATCTTCCTCTTTGACATATTTATTCTCGAAAACATGTCTAAACCAAGACTACTTTTCTTCGTCGAAATCTCTTGTAAGGATTTGATGAGAGCCGGCGTGATTCGAATACAGCTAGTTTGATAGGTGTGGTCATGAAAATGTTTAAAAGACAACACCCAAATCTTCAAAAATATAATTTTGAAAATTTGAATTTATTTTAATGATGAAAAATCCTTAAAATAAACTCTGGTATAAACAATCAAAAAGTCAAAAAGGAAACAAAAGTTTTTTTGAATAGCAAATCATTACAAAGACGATCCTGCTTCTCAAGACTCAGGCTATTCTTTTTATTCCAATGGGTGTGTTCTTTGGATAAGGGAAAGAAAATAATCAACAATTCTTCCATAAAAATGCTTCATTTCTTTCATTAAAATGCTTCATAAAAAACCTATACTGTACTAAAAACTGAATTCGAAAAATCTGAACCCACTTCTATTTCATACTAATGCTATAAAACTTTTTCTACCGATCAATTTAACGAGGATCTTCAATTTTATTTAGCTAGAATACCTAAAGAAAATGAATCGTACGATGTTTTCAATCAGACTCTGATTTCTCTTCTTGATGAACATGCCCCTCCGAAGAAAAAATTAGTAAGAGCAAACAATGCGCCTTTAATGAATAAAGATATAAGAAAATTGATAATGCTGATATCTAAAGCAAAAACAAAACAGTCTCTAACAGGGAGAAGAACCAAAAAGTTAGAAATAAATTAGTTGCACTAAAAGAAGATATTTCGAAATTTTAGATGCAAAATTCGTCAAGGATAATGAAAAATTCTGGAAAACTTTCCAGCCTTTATCAAATGATAAAATTTCAAAACCAAATAAAATCATACTGATAGAGAACGATCAAATCCTGTCTGAGAGCAAAAAAGTAGCAGAAACGTTGAATAATCATTACGTGATGGTTACTGAAAGCCTAAAAAATTGCCCGACCTTTATCTGATAATGTGCAACAGACGTCTGACGAAAGGACAGCCTCGTCACTATTAGATCAATTGAAATGCTTTGAAAGCCACCGTAGTATTTTAAAAACAAGGAAACGTTTGATCAATTTCCTAAGTTTAACTTAGAAAATGTAACTTCCAAGGAGGTAAGACAGATAATTTACAACCTAGAGGAAGAAAAGTCAACCGGAGGCGATAACATCCCCCCAAAAAGTTCTTGAAACAGCAACAGACGTTGTCTCTGGACCACTAGCTGAAACATTCAATCGATCTATTTCTGATAAACATTTCCATTTCTTAAGAAAATGGCTAATGTGTGCCCTATTTTCAAAAAGGAGATTCAGCTGGTAAAGAGAATTATAGACCAATGAGTGTGCTCCCTTCAGCTTCGACGATATTTGAGAGAATACTGTCCAATCAAATCTACAATTACATCAGTGTTAAACTGTTCTCTTTGCTTTGTGGATTCAAAAAAGGTTATAGCACACAATACGCTTCATTAAGACTTATTGAAGGCCTGTAGAAGTGCCTGGATAAAAAAGATGTGGCTGGTGCAGTGCTTATGGATTTATCAAAAGCATTTGATTGTTTACCCCATATACTTCTACTAGCCAAATTGAGATCTAATGGCTTCAGCGACAATGCAATGGGATTTTTGTATAGGTATCTTGATAAAATAATACAACAAGTAAAAATAAACTCAAACTTTAGTGATTGGATGAAAAGAGAGCAAGGAGTTCCTCAAGGAACAATCTTAGGCCCGTTGCTTTTCAATATTTACATAAACGATATTTTTCTACAATTGAACAAAAGCAACTTATGCAACTATGCAGATGATAATAAAATTTGGCTGCCAAGTATTGATATGAACGAACTAACTGACGACTTAGAATCGGAAGCAGCTATTCTTGATAAATGGTTTATGGAGGGTCGCCGAAAGCATGGGGGCAGCAGCCCCCCATTGCCACCCAGCAAAACCCAATCAACAGAATGGGAAGTTTTAGACTGACCTTTTAGATTGAACGTTTTATCGGTACCAAAGTATTATTTTATATCATTTTTTGTCATAATTCTAATGTTAGTGTCATTGAAAATGTGCCCTTTTTGTGTAGCTGCCCCCGCCGCCTCAAAATGCTCCCGGCGCCCCTGGTTTAATGAAAAATTTTTGGTGCTCAATGGCGATAAAAGCAAGCTTATAACATTTAAAGCCAATGGATCCATTTTAGAAGAATCTAAAATAAAATAAATGGTTATACTATAATAGAAAGTAAGAATGTTAAACTTTTGGGAGTGACACAAAACCATCAACTTAAATTAGTAGAACATATCAATGTCCTATTACAGGATTTAATACCGTATCAAACAGTTGTAGCCAAATATGAAACTCAGTCCCAAACGAGATAAAGTACTCCCCTACTTTACAAATATTAAAAAAAAATCTCAGATACTTACATCGTTTAATTGTACTTGTAATCTTCGCAAGGAATGCATTAGCAACATCGATTATATTTGATTTACATCATATTTAGCGTTGGCAATTCAAATTAGTTGGTTTTAATTAGCTTCACTATGCATAGCTAAATATCTTACCTAATTTAAAAAAAGAAAGAAAACATTTTTTTCTCTCTAGAACACATAAATGTTTTAAATTTGCTAACACTCACACTACAGGTAAAAGACCCTTGGGCACCATGTGAAATTTGGTAACAATGACTTGTTTATTTAGTGCCTTAGATATTTCTAAGCCTAAAAAGGTCTTGAATACAATTTGCTTTGACAAAAAAAACAGTCTGTAGGTTTTCGAAAGGTTTTCAGGTTTCGTGTTTTCAAGCCCCCATAAAATTGTTGCTAAGGTAGCTGTCACTAAGTCTGACTGGTGATGGAGTGGAAGCAAAGTTACAAGGGTATGACATTTTCTGAGGGTAATTTGGATGGGGTAGAGACTTTTTGAGGAAGAAGTTTGTGTATGAAACCAAATTAAATTTTAAAAAATTCATCTCAAATTCTTAGCAAGATCATTCATGTTCTAGGCTACTCAAAATCAGAAGAGTCGGATGCTGATGTTGAAAAAGAATTGCCCCATGAAAATTCTGTAAAAAATTTCATCAGATCTTCATAATCTTCTTGTCTCTTTTGAAAAAAGTGTTCAAAGTCTTTTGGCAAGACATGAGGGGAATGAGATTTTTTTGCATAATTTTAAGGTGTTTTTGAATTTTTAACGGGGTTTGAAATTTTTTCGGCTGTAAACGATTTGCTTCTGTCCTGATACTCGGTCAGACTTAATGACAGCTCCCTAAGACACACCCCGATAGGAACGCTGGTTGATGTTATATATATTCCTATATTTTGCTTCTGTTGAGCGTGTTGTCGTTTCTATGGTCTTGTTTCAGCATCATCATCATCATCATCATCATCATCATCATCATCATCATCATCATCATCATCATCATCATCATCATCATCATCATCATCATCATCACCATCACCATCATCTCAGCCTGTTCACGCCACGGCTGGCGGGTGGCCTCCACAGCTGTCTCCACGCTCTTCGATCTTGTGCCACATGAGTCCACAGGCTGCCAGCTTTCTCTTCTATCTCATCTCTCCATCGTCTTTACCGTCGGCCTTCCTCTTCTTCGTCTTCCATTTTTTCGGGGTCCATTCTGTTGTTATCTTTGACCATCTATTGTTGTTCATTCTGACAAGGTGTCCCGCTCACTGGCTTTTCATCCTATATACTTTCTCTGTAATGTCTTTCACTTTTGTCTTTGATCTTATGACTTCATTCCTGACCTTGTTTAACGTGCAGCCAGCAAGAGACGATGCTGTGTGACCGTTGTGTCTTGATGAATTTACTGAGTGACTTACAATAAAGGGCGTATACACATAAAAGGCTTATACACATAAAACGAGGGGACGCTACAAAAGTGTTGTTGTTAATTATAAAACAATGAATGAATTAATTACGCTCCACAATGGTCACTACATCCCCTCTAACTGACAAAGAACACGAAACCTCCGCAATAAGTTTGATTGAGTAGACAGAAGGAGTTAGTTTTTCTCACTCCAATGGTGATTTTCTCATTTGCACGCATCACTGATTGGACAACTATACCAGTCATGTGCTCGCGTTTTTCTGATTTGCCTTTTACGATCCACAACTGGTTATATATTTTCCATCGTGTTCTTTCGGAAACTTGCTCTGACGTTTCAAACTCTGCTCTCAGGAGTGTCCGACCAGAAAGCTTTCAGTATGCTGTAAAATGTTTGCTTTTTTCAAAGCCATTTTCAAGTTTTACTGTCACAGAAAGCGTTAGGTTTGTTAGTTTTTTTGGCGTTTGTTTGATATCCGTTTAATTTTTTCCGACCCATTATAGTGATGAAATGATTTTAACAACTTAGGTATCAAACATAATTGTAATTCATGACGGATAACGTGGACTTAACACCTTTGGAAATTTCTAATAAAACGCAATAAAGTACTTAATTGGCCATTTATTGGGCAAGGGAATACATTTTACGTATCCGATGTAAAAGACGTATAAATGGTCACAAATCAAATGAAGTCCCGCAATGAAGTGAAACAGACACAATAGGCTTCGATTGGAGATTATCTGGATTAGGACAACAATTAAAGGTAAAATTGGATCAAGCCTGACTATTATATCGCCTTCCTTTTGCAGGAAAATCAGTCATTCTCACACTGGCCATATTTGTTGCTGTCTTTGGTTGTGGGTTAGGCTCAGTTGTCGTTTACTTTGCATGGGAAAGGTAAGGTCCTTCTTCATATGGTTCAGGGTTGTAAAATTTTCATTTATTTAGATTAACGATTGCAGAAAGATTAAGCTATACATGAAGGAATGGGAAATTAATTGGGAAACTCGTAAATATTTCCGATAATTCATTTCGGGGACTGGTTGGTGCTATGTTTCTTCTTGAAGCAGTACTATTTCGTGACAAGAGTTGGAACAGGTAATTAGAATTTGCACCAAGGAGGCGCATTAATGAAATAATAGGAAGCTCCTCTGCAGGTCAATGCCCCTCTCTGGGCCCGACAATATTCGGCGATGTACTTTGTTGGAAAAATATAACGTTCTTTCACTTGAAAAGGCAAAATGCACAGGTCGGGAGATTGTTTTACGGATTAATAGTGTCAAAAGAGAAATCGGAACTATAAGCAGTGCTTTCAGAGGCCGCTAGGAAAATTATAGAAAATGGATTAATGAACTCCAACAACTTTAAAATCATAGCTTGTATTCTCTTGTAAGATTCAAACCAAAGTTCCACGGATACATGAAAATGGGACGAGGGAAGAAGCAAGCAAAAGGATCTAAAAACAACTGCGAAACGGTGAGCAAAGTTCATCATTTGTAATTCATTATTTCAACTTCTTTTTGTCATCAAATAAGGCGGTACATGTTTAAGGCGCCTTTTCAGCCCCAGTGTAGGCCCCATGTAATTTTACGAATTTCAAGGGAACTACCCTGCTAAACCAGGGACCGAGGAAGTGGGCTGATGGAGCATAGCCCCCACTTACCTCCAAAATTTTTTCAAAACAATGCAAAACCATACCTTGCTTGTGGTTTAAAAAAAACGTTTCTAGCATGTTTACCCCCCCCCCACCCCACCCTAAAATACGGCTCAGCCCCCTGAATCCCTTACATGCTTCTGGTTCCTCGTGTAAAACTAGCTTTTTCTGCAATAGATATTTCTTTATGTTTATCTCTATTCCTTATCAATATAATTATGCAGGCTGTTGTTTTCTAGAATTACACTGTTCTGGATATGATAGCTGAAGATTCTCTTGAAGAGGTAGAAGACGGCTCTCAGAACATAGGCAATCTCGGCAGTGGGACTTTGATGAGACTTGGGAATGATTCAGTTTCTGAAAGTAACTCAAAAATGTCATATAGCTTAAAGGGTAATTGTAACGGATTTAAACATCCAGACGGTGCCCAAAGGATGAACAATTGTACTAAATGGCTCAGAGAGTCCGGTGTCTGTGACAATCTTGTTGACGATTTACAAGAAGATGTCGTAGAATTCGATCGGAACTCGTTATTTCAAGATAAGCAGGGTGTAATCGATAAACCAACTGGACAAAGAACACAATGTGGAAATAGAAGCAAAAGTGAGATGGCGAAGCAAAGCAGTTGTAACAGTCTGTCAATGGAAAGCAGGAATAATTTGGCCGTAAACAAAAAGAGTCGTACAAGCAATAAGAGGTCAAGAAAAGACTGCAAAGGGAGTAGCACGCCAGCTGGATGTTTTGAAGATGCCGATAGCGATTATGAAACAAATAACATATCAACTGACAGCGAAGCTCAAGTTTTCAAATCTAAGCATACATTTAGAAGAAAGAGTCAACCATCCTGGCTGGCTACCCTTGATATTGACGGTAGGCAATGCACGTATAGAGATGATGGAAATAGCATAGAGTACGGTGTTTACGGGGAAGGCCTTACTGGAGAGAGTAAAAGATCACGCGAAGGCTCATTAACTTCAGAAAAAGTCAATTCAGTGGAGCGCTCTAGCGAAGCAACAGAGAAAACATTGAGGTTTGACATGAATATTGATAAAGAACAGGATATGAATGATTCTAGAGAGGAATTAATGAAACAATGGATGAGAGGCAAACGGAAATCGATTCGAGCTTCAATCTACTGCGTTTCGTCAGAGAGTGACGAAGATAATGAAATAACAGGTGAAAGTCCAGAGGCAACCGAAATGCAAATGGTAACTGGAGCTGAAGAAGTAATTTACTTTAACTATGCTACGAACGAGGCGAAATCACACAAACAGTTCCAAAACAACGATGATATAGGCCGCTACGACAGCTCAACGGTGAACACAAAAAACACGGACATCGAGACTCAGAGTCCATGTATCAATACAAAAGGACGATATATGGATCACATTGGGTATGACAGTGAGGAAGAATTAGTGACAACGGATTCGAAACAGTTTGACGAAACAGAAAGAGACCGAATAACTCTGATGTCGGATCATTTACTTAAAGGTTTGCTCGTTTTCTTTTTTGTTAAATCTATTATAGCTATATATACATGTTTGTGGCAAAGTAATGTTTTCACGACATTTATTTTCTCAAAACGTTTTGCTTGGCTTTGTTTCCTCAAATTCATTTTGAACAAAATTGAAGACGGGAATACTATATCAAATTGAGGAAATTAAAATATTAAAAAATAACTATTTATGTTAAATAAAAATAGCTATAGTTCTCTCAGAGAGAAAGTCCTTGATTTTTCACATGAATTGCTAACAGAAATCCTGGCGCTCATAGGTCAAGGTACCAATCAAACGCAAAATCCTTCCTTTCACGTTACTTTCGTTCAACAATTTTGCATAAACTTTCACTTGATCAAACGAGTGAAATCGCTGATTGTTAAAATGATCGAAAATGTAACATTCCCACTTATAGAGAAACTTTATATTTCATGTGGCAAATCAGGAGTTTTTAATTCAGATTTCTCTTGCATTCAAGGAACGCGAAGCATATTACAGATTTAGGAGCCTAAAACGGTTATTGGGAGGGGGGTATAAAGATGCTAAAAACCAAGAGCAGGGGTGGACATTGTGGGCTGTTGTTGCGCGAGAATCCCTCTAGAGAGAGAATGTTCGAAAAGTTTTCATAAACATGAAGTTGGCATTTAGGTAACATTTAAGGCCGAAATGATGCAAACTGAAAAGAGAAGACCAAAAGCAAGTAGCCAGAAAAACCAAATACCAAGTAGCATGCACAGCTTCCTTCTTAGACTTCCGGCCCAAATTTAATTTTTCTGAGGAGATTTTTGTTATTACTACTGATGTCATCTTATAACCTTTTTAAGGCGATAACTTTTTTCGGTTGAGTTGATGTTATTAATCCCCCTCGAAGAATAGTAATTTTTTCGCTTCGTGTGCTAGCTATTAGAAATTTGCATTTAAACGATAATCCTGGCCCCATTGAACATGAAGTTTAAAAAAGATTCTCCTATGTAAAGGAATTATTTTAAAGAGATGGTCAAAGAAGCAAAAAATGAAAAACATCAACATCAATCACGGGACATTTGCTAAAAAAAATGAATTGTAGGAGAGCAAGTACAAGTCACCATTTCAACAAAGACAACAATAGTTTTCACGTCATCACTGCCTAGTTTACAGCTAATATAGATTTTTCAAAGTAAAGTCTAGTAAATTGTTTTCCAGATGCAGCAATCTTTAGTTCAATCGAAAATTATGTATGTATGAATGTATGTATGCATATATGTATAATTCGACACATTATAAAGTATAAGTATTTACAATTTATAAAATTTAAAAAGAATATAATACAATAATTCACATTAAAAAAATAGGTAAACACCCCTAAATTCACTAGTAGGGCTAGATATAAAAAGTCTAGCTGAACTTATTTCCACAATGGTCCCCTTAGAGGTGCTGGTTTAACAGGAAAAGTAAACGACGGGAAATAGGATGATACAGATATTTGTCATTGTTGTTAGCTCCAAACCAGTCTTTGGAAGTCCTTAGACATACATATATGTCATCTTCCTTTCTGCTATGTTTTGTAAAAAGTTCACTTTGATCTTATGCTTGAATGTGTTGATATTGGAAATTAAACTTCGAATTCTGCTCGTTGTTTTGCTCGTTCAATGCTTGTTGGTTTGTTCCACGAGCGTTAGAAAATATCCAAAACTATTCTATCTTATTTTTAGTGAATAGGAACGCATATAAATCTATAGATTAGACCTTCGAAGACAAGCTACTGTTCCGGTCAAAATTATTGAGACAAAATGTGATGTTTGGCGTTTTCTTCTTTACGTTTCCCCTGAAACTTGTTAGATTAGTAGTTCTACCATTTGTGCTTTGAAACATGTATTCAACATTTAAATGGAGTGGGGAGAAAGAGATGAGGGGGTGGGAGGGAAAGGTTACCTTTTAAAGGATAAGAAAACAAAAACTCTTTTCGAAATGTCTCAACTATTCTTGTCCGGAGTTGTAGGTCACGTAGCTTGCATTTGTACTTTATGTCACTGTTACCAACAATTTCAAGCCTTTTATATCCAGGAAAGCAGTATTACCAAGAAAATGATCTTTACAGCTTACTTCACTCATCAAAAGAAACAATCTTTTGAAAGTCATTATAGCATTCTAGATTGTTTCATGATATGATAAATTTTCTTTGCTTCTTACAGTTCATAAATCAAAGTAAGGTTTTCCTAATTGAGCGGATTTCTTTGCAGGACTGATGCTGGACATAGAGGAGAATATTGTTGGTGCTTATGACAGTCGTAGACTATTCAGATCACACAGTGATAGCGAGCTCGGGAGATCCAAATACATCACAAATCTTCCAGATCTTACAAATATTAACAGTTTTTCAACCAGCAATTTAAGAAGCAAACAGATAATCCCAACTAACTCGAGTCATGAAGAAAACAGACCTGGGAGTTCAAAAAAGGAGAAAACAAGAAACTTGGTTAGTAAGAAACTCAGAAGTGTAATAAGATTTCTTAGAATAAACAGAAAGAAAAGAAACAAGTGAATGTTTTTATAACGTAACTTGGGAATCTAACGTAGTCATTTAATCTAGGAAATTTTTGACATAAGCAATATTGTATTTATTAAACGTGTAACGTGATTTGTTATAAAAATTTGAGTTAAAATGATTCTACTTGACTTTAAGACTCGTTTTTAAGAAAAGACTCGAATTCCTTTGTGGTTCTATAAGAAGAAAAGGGTTACGCTATGCTTGTCGAGAAATTAGTCTTTCTGGCACTGTATAGATATCGTATAAACTTCTATGTAAATATTAAGCAGCCTTGACAAATTGCAAATCTGCAGTAACATTTGGCTATCAACGTAACATAAAGCCAATTTTTACTTTAGTTGGTTAGGTTAGGAAGAGCAGCAAGGGCCTATAGCTATGCCCAAACAAGGGAAAAGCAGGAGGGGCCAAAGTGAAAGGGATGTGAGAACTGTTTGTTGACCTTAGTTTTGAAAAAAAGAAAGGTAATAAGCGGACACCAAAGCAGGGTGGATCCAGTGAGGTAGCAGCAAGCTTGCCAATTTTTGGAATTAACAAGGGGGCTCAGCCTCCCTAGCTCTACCCCTCTGGGTAAAACGTTCCAAGTATTATAAAAGCTAAGGTAGTAACAATAAAAATATTGATATGAATAATTTTAGCCAAAGAGCAGTGTCTTCTATATCCGTTGCCATTTTTTCTATCTTGGCAATCAAATGGTTTAATTGAGCAGCTGTTGAAGGTTCCGGAAGACAGGTAACAGAAGATGCATTCTTCTTGATAATGAAATTCGACCAGTTTTCATTTGGACTTTCTCTCTTCGCTACGGACAGTTCGTTTTTCCAGTTTTTATGTTGCAAACTTAAAGCAGTGGTGGACTGGCACAGAACTTTTAACCGGCCACGAAGATCTGAGTGGGGCTCTGGTCGTTGTGATCTGATAAACTAAGGAGTGGTCAAGTGACCATTGTATCATAATCGATCAATTTCTAGGCAACATAACATAGCAAAGTTGGACTATTGAATATACATAACTGCTCATCGATCTAAAAAAAGATTAACATAAAATAGAAAACATTCTGCCCGATTTGGATTTCATTTTTTTCTTTAGAAAAGCAAATTTGCTATTCTTTGAATGCTTGAGTCAGACAAATTTGCTATTCTTTGAATGCTTGAGTCAGACAATCTGAGCCAGACGAGCCGGACAATTCATGTTTTAAACTGTTCAGCAACACGTTTTTATACTCCTTAGCAACTTAAATCCTATCTCCTCTCGTAGTGTTTCCTAAACGATACTTTAACACCTTATACTTTAGAAAAAGCTTTTCCAGTTGACTTAAGTGACTAGGAATTTGCGTAAGACTAAGATCTTGCTAGACACGGACAGATTGACTTAGGCCCGTTCGTGTTGTCTATATTTCGATAGCGTACATTTAATAGTCTTCGCAAGCAACCTTGACTTGCTCTGTATAGTTGCCTTCAACTTTGCATTTAGCGAATTCTAAGCTTAGAGAAAGTTTGCTCAACGGAGTTATGCTCACTTCTTTCATTATTTACGGCAACAGATGAGGCCGACTTGCAGACGCTTTCCCCAAATTTATTTTTTATAGAACTGCTTGAATTTTTTCATATCTTATTTTCATAGCTAAATCATACTAAGAAGGTTTCCTTGAAACGTTAGTAATCATCTGCTAAATAATTTTGTTGTCTGTATTTTCAGAATTTAAGCATGCTTGAAACGATATTTTCCTCAAAATGTTTAGGCTACAAAATTTCGAAAACCATTTTACTAAAATTTCAGCACAAGTTGCATTTCTTCTTTTGCCTGCCAAGAAAATTGTGACAGTCCTGTCCCACTATCTGAAAACCACATGCAACTCTATATTTTACGTGGTTATTACTCATTGACAAGCTATTTTTCAAACTCTTAACTTTTCAATCTTCTTTTCATCGTTTGAAAATAATTCGTCCCTCCTTAAGCATTTTCTGTGTATTTTTTATCAGTTTTTCATTAATTGTGGCAATACATTTACCATCCTACGTTGGCATTTCGTACGTTGGTTCTTCTAGCATTTCCTTATCTTAATGCTATGGCTTGAGTAAAATAGGTTCTTATCTTCATGCCTTTGCAGCTAATGCCGAAGCATTGCTTGGATAATTTCTGAATCAAAACTCCTTACTTTGTTGGCTGTTCTGGGTCAGCCTTTACCTAGGCAAAGTCTCAGTGATCACAGCGTTCACGTGCGACCCCCGGTTTTGAGAAATTTTAAATGTACTGAAATAAAAAAATTGGCTATTCATGTGGATCTTTTACAGTAATAAATAAGTCATCTAAACTATCCCCATTGATGCAATCGGACATAAATTATTACCAAAAATCTTTACGGCGATTTCCAGAGAGTAAGACGTTATAAGATTTTCTCTCTAGCTTGTTTCTTTCAATGTTTTTCTTTATTATTAATTTCGTTTTTGGCACTTCTCGTCACATTATGTTGTTCGATTTATATCGTTCCTGCTCAATTTTTATACATATATTATTTTCTTAAGATTGCAATGAATAAAATTTGAAAACGAAAGCAGCAGAAGATTTTAATTTTACCATAATTAAAGAAACGATCTTCAACTAAAAATAGAAGGGCTACAGAAGTTGTCTCAATAAGAACAATGTCTCAATAAGAACACAAATTGAGGTGTTATCATTTTTCTAGAATGCAAAATGTTGCTGATGCCAAGGTGTTACTAGTTATGATTGATGCTATTTTTCAGCTTCCGATTCCAGATAGAGAGCTTTCAGTCACAGCCTTCAATTTCAGGTCTTTCGTGAGTTAGTTTCTCGTAGTCATATCCACTCGACATCATCTACAAGGGGAAAATAACTCTATAATCTAATTGCATGGAAAGTTTGGAAATATGCGGTTCAAAAACGCAGCCATTGGGCTAGCAGGGGCTATAGCCTTCCTTTTTTGCAACAATAGATAAAAAGTTTTTTTTTAAAGTTTAAATATGCTTTAGCGCAATTATGGATAGTATACTCCTAAGTAGTAGCAGTTCTTCTTCACTGGGAATCCTTTTTGTTCATTTTCTAGGTGTTTTTCTTGAAGTTTTATTATCTCCAAGCTACTTGTATATATTTCTATAGCTTTTGATATATACTCTGAACCAGAATGTTTATAAAACTTCCGTAGAAATAAGATGATGATTAAATGAAATTTTATCAGAGTTAATTTCACGAGGGGCTTTTGAGCGTTAACTAAAATCGCTTAGATCGTTTTTATTACTATTTCGTTATGTTTTCTTGTGCCACGCTTCCTCGCGTTTTTCTTGTATCTGCTCTGCTAGTTTATGGACAGTTTTTCGGTCACCTGAGAATTGATTTGCAAAATTAGGGTAGGATATGTGTTTCGTGGCGTTTTCATTCCCTTGGTTAATCTAGAGGTATTTAAGGTTATGGCTTCTTAGCGTTTTCTGATGCTATTAGGTAGGACTGGTGCATCGGCTATAAGTGGGGAAAAGAGGCTTTTCCTGTCCATTCCCTCCCAATTATCAATCATATTTGGGGGTTATTGTGTAACTTCCCTTAGTAACCCCTTTATGGTAGGTTGAGCGATTGGCGCCGATGCACCAACAGCTCAACTCGCTCTCGATGATGTGGGAACGTAGCCTCATGACTGACCTTCTGATCTCTATGGCAGTTTTCTGAGGAAGCTTTATGCCCTTTATATTCCATTGGTATTTCATTCCCGAGTAAGTAAATTAACAAGTATTTTCTAAAAAGGGCGTTTTTCGGCGTTCTAGAAAGCGTGGCCTCAAAAAAGATCATCTTACAATCCTTCTTTGTTAGCGAACTTTGCCTTTTTGCCTATTGTTTATATGTACATCATTTTGATCTTGTGCAATGTCTTGAGGAGGCAGTTATCAGCAATTTTCGAGAAAAAAATTCAAGAATGTTTCTTTAATTGGCCCCTAGATGTAAGATCTTATGTAAAAATTGGATTTTCTGCAAATATAACTGTATTTAAGTGTTTTGAACTCATGAAATTCTATGTGTAGTATAGTACACATAAAAAGAGCACCATGGCTACCTATTTTTACCGTTTTTTTTCGCTGGTTTAAAAGATTCCACCTCTGTCTTGTTTGTTGAACAATGATGATAACGAGGTTAGTTCAAGAACCAACAATGATGATGATGATTATGATGCCGACGATAAAGATAATTATGAGGAATTGAGAAAAAGGACGTAGTTGAAATTGAATAGATAAAAATAATACATTGATTTGATTCCTAACCTCATCTAAGAGTTTTTCTATGCGAATTCTCAATAATTTTAAATGCAAACAATTTCGTAGTGGCCAAATTTCATCTCATTTTGGATTTCGTCGAAGAAAATTTCGTCAAAATATTTGCCCGAAATTTTGTGAAGACGAAATTTTTTGTAGTTAATGTATATTTTTTCAATCGTTGTTTACAGGTAGAAACTTTAAGGAGAATAAGAGAACTTGAATTCAAATATCAAAATTCAAGAGAGAATCTGATACAAGATAGTTTTAGCAAATACAGTTGCCCAAAGAAAGATGCACTATGCAGACCATACACTTAGAGGGTTAAACGGTAGATAAGCAAATCTGGTGCTGGAAGGATATATAGATGGTAAAAGAAACAGGAGTATGCAAAGAGGAACATCGGCTGCATTTTTAAAAAAGATTCTTAAGATGAAATCTTACAAAATGGAACTTTAATAATCAGCTATGGATCTCATTTCCAAAAACAACTTTTTTTCTTCAGTTCCTTCATTGTTCGAAGACATTATGAGTTTTGCAGTGAAAACTAACTCTAATCTAAAAAAAAAGCAAAATTATTTTGTTTGCATTCCAACAAACATTTACGACACTACCACAGGTTTTCCATGGAAGAGTTGTAACCATCGGTTTTCCATGTGTCAGTATTGCAGTTTGTGAGACCGTTGTTGTTTGGACAATGGTACCACAATTAAAGCTGCCCTTCTACGAGGTATGATAAGGGAACCAAAGTGCAACTTCACGAGGGCTATTAATGCAAGATAAGGGAAGAGTGTCAGATGCTGCAAGAAAAAGTTGCTAAAAATAAATGAGCTGGATAAATATAAGAAAGAAGAAATGTATCAGATTGTCAAAGAAGAGCGAGAAAAAGAGAAGCCAGCAAAGGTATAAAGCAAGTAGTTTTGAGATTGGAGTCAACCCAGAATGAGATGATCAAATAATTAAAATATCAAAGAAAGTAAAATTTTCTCGTAGAAAGAGAAAACCTAGTTCTCTAGTAGGACAATTGACATCACAATTGACGTCAGAATCACCAGAAGCTCAATTTATTGATAAGCCTAACATTCACCTTTTAATTGATAAGAATGAAAGAAGATTTGACTGTCATGTTTAAATCATTACTAAAGTAATAACTCTGTCTGGAATTTAGATTAAAAAAGCCTAATAGAAAACCTTCTTGTCATAATAAAAAAAGCAAAACTTTATCAGCATTTTTCTCAAAATGAATAATTTGGATACTATAAATATTTAGAAACAAATTACTTAAAACGTATAAGGCAAATGTCAATCATATTTTGACATTATGTGTAGGAAGCAACGGCTTCACAAATTGATAAAAAAATACAAATTTATCAATATTTCCTCTGTTGCTATGGAATCTGGGGTTTGGGGGGCTGCACCTAAGATTTATTTACTTAGTTTCATGATTTTGAAAAACATCGCATCTTTGAAAAATTGTTTTTCAACAGAAATTTTCCGCCTGACAAGATTCAGAAAATGAAACTTGAGAGGAATTGCGATGCAAATATTTTAGTTGTGACGTTTTATTAACCAAACTTTGACATGTACAAATGGCAAAGCTCATAATATGCCATCTAAAAAGAGCCATTTTCCAGCATTCTAAAGGGCGTGGTCTTTCAAATTTTCCCCTGGACCCACTGCTATTTTCTTTGCTAGTATGCCCCCACCCCAATCTTCCCACGCTGGCTATGCCACTGCACTGATGGTCAAATAATTTTGGTCTAAGACCTCATTTCTAAAATTCTTGCCTGGGAGTGTCCATTTGCCGAAACTATTTTTCATGATGGCGGAAACTTAAAAAAAACAAATCTTTCCCTGTGAATGGTTTAAACACTGACAAATTAAGTACAAATCTATTCAGCGTCAACATTTCGGACAACAAATTTCAGCAAAAAAGTTTTCGGACGCATTTTTGGCATTTTGACCAAAGTTTTAGGAGGTAACATTAAAACCACGCCAGGTTATTAAATTCACGCATATTTTCAAGATTGATACTCAACTCTTTAGTAACTTAAAAGAAGCACTGAGCACTGAGGATGAACGCTTTCAGTACCGAACTGGCTAAAATTCTTAGCTCCTTATAAACAATACGCTAAAAGGGAAGAAAAAATCACTAACTTTCATATTAATGCTCTTATTGTTTTCATTCTTTTAAAGATATATCCTATATGTGCTCAGATTTGCTAACACCTTCATATCTTCGTAAGGGTACTCAAAGGCAAGTCTTTAGGGTCATCATATCCTGGAATTGAAGACGCTTTATTGCCTTTCATGAAGAGCGTTTGTTCAACTACGACCAAAAGAAAGATGTCTATTTTCTAAATATGCATCTTAGGGTACAAAAGTATGGAAACGGCAGTAAAAAATGGCGGCTCACAGTGGCCAAGGGCCTAAGGTGATAAATTTCCGAAACATACACTCCCCTCACAAAAGTATTGCACCACCTCGAAGGAGGGAAAATGGCACAACAATTATCGAAAGCTATTGTTGTGCGAATTGATTGTGTTTAAGGGGCGAATGGGAGTGTGTCGGAAGTGAAACAAACACCAATCAAAACTTCAATCTTTTAGAAAACTTTTTTCAAAATAACAGTTTCAAAACGTCTTTTAACAGTTTCAAATTTTAATATTTTGACGGGAGCTGTGAACTTTGAAACCGCTTTATGCCTCTTTGAATTGGTTGCATATAATTGGGCAACGTATTATTGTGGGATTTCATTCCAAACCTGAAGAATTCTTTTAATTAACGATTCTTTGGTTCTTCAAGAACCTTTAAAATCATGGTTCGGATTATTTTTCATACGAAGCCAAACATTTTCAACGATGTACAAATCTGGACTTGAACGACGCCACGGAAAAACTTGAATTTATCTAGTTCGGAAATAAATCGTTGTAAAAATGGTTTTTCTTTTACGCAGGTGAATTTTTATTTTATATTTGTGTAAGACACTCATTATTTTTTGTTTGGAAGAATTTTGAGCTGCAAAACATTGCTCAGCGTCGAGCTTCATGTCTTTTACTGTCCCTTGGTGTAAACATGGTGAAATAAAACAGACAAAATCGCTACCCCTCTAACGTAAATTTTTTTTGTTCACCCACTTCTCGGTTTATTACTATTGAAGCACTCTCGAGAAACCTTTTTTGATTCATTGAAGCTGTTGTGGCTGCATCTAACTTGGTCAACAATTTTTCACAGACCACTTCCCTGTAAAATTTATACAGGAACTCGCCTCTCATTTGACAAATTCTCTCCCTTAGGCATGGTCTACATTTTTTAAAACAATAATGTTTTTCCGTAAAATTTACATTTCTAACTAGGTTTTCTATGGCGTCAGCAAAATTTGCAAACTTTTCCCGCCAAAATTTGATATAAAATATGCCTATTCCACCCACTCAAAAACAATCAATTCGCGCAACAATAGCTTTCGATAATTCTTGCGTCATTTTCCCTCCTTCGAGGTGGTGCAATACTTTTGTGAGGGGAGTGAAATTACTAGGTGAAGGGGCTTGGGGACGATAGTTAATGGCGCGAAAATGCATTCGTCATCTTACAGAGTTTGAGTTGAGCGTTTAGTTTGCTGCATAAAGGAGGAAATTCAGTAAAGCATTGAAGCACTGCTTCAAATTTGTTCTCTACAAAATTTCTGAAGCATTTGTAAATAGTGACAATGAAATGAAGTTTTTTTGAAAAAGGATGTAACGCTCAAGTAAAAATATTGGTAAAACTTCAAGCTTTGCTCTGATGACAAAATTGTTACTAAGAAGACTGTTTTAGCAGAAATCAAGGGCTTGAAAGTTTCACTATTGACACCAGGTGAGTCGCTGTTCATTTGACTAAAAAGACTGTGGTTTTTGAATTTTTAATATATTCATCATCTACATAAGTAACAATTCAAAAACATTAAGTAAAACGTTTTATCTTCATTGTGCTCTTGCAAATTGTGAATAGAATAATTTAAATCCAAGCTGTTTATGTTTTTTAGACAATAAACAATTTTGATCGCTAAACGTCACCTTTAAACGGTGTTCGTCTTGTTTCATTATCAATAACCTGAAGGCCAACATCTCACCAAAAAGAATCTTCCAAGTAATAATTTTATTGTCAGTTTAAACATAAACGTATCTAGATTTAAGCATGAATGAAGTATGTTGTGCTTCTTCAAAATTTCCAACATTTTATCTTAATTGTTTATCACTGCTTCGATAATTTTGTTCAGAATTTTGCTGAATGTTGGTTCAACGTATCCCCGTATTTTTGTTCTCAAAACATTTGAATAATCCTTCAAATTAATTTTTATTCCAAAGTCATTGAAATGACGCATTGTTTTCCTGCCGAAGTCACTAGCAACGAAGACCCCTTCACCTAGTAATTTTGTTTCGAAGATTTATCGCCTTGGGCCCTTGGCCACTGTGAGCCGCCATTACTGACTATCGTTTCCATACTTTTGTACACCCATAGTGTATATCGTGTTCAAAACAGAGGGCGGTTGTGATATTTTCTTAAAACACCCTAATAGAGCATAGCGAAATAATCTTTTGATTGGCTGAAGCGCTACCATTTTGAATTTATGCAAATTAACTGATGTAGTGAACCCAGCGAGGGCAAATCTACAACTCATTTCCACTCATTTCTCACTCATTTCCGACGCAAGGAAGGATTTTTAATTGAATTTCAATGTTTGGATTCTTCAAGTTAATAGCGTCAAGGTCAAAGACTTATTTCATTGAATAAAAAGATGGACAAAAACCAAATCGGTCAGATGCTGCACAGGTTTTGTTTCTAAACAGACATTATTAACCGTAAAATGTAAATATTATTGATGGTAAATAGTTACTTAACAAAACGGTAGTATTTAAATTTTTTATCGTGTCGTGTTGGCTTGAGTGATACACGAGGGTCCTGTGTTGGCTACCATTTTGATAACGCAATTTTTGGCGCGAAAATGGCAAAACGTCACCCCGAAGTATTGCGCAATCCTTTGGGCGATTTTTTTAAAAATAAGTATGCCACCTTTTAGAAAAAAATGTTGCAATCCTCTTCATATGCCTGGAACTGTTTATGTGAGGAGACAAAGGACCTAGCAAAAATTGGTGGTTTACAAGCGTGTTTAGCTGCCTTTGCACAAATTTCAGAAAATTTTAACACGAAGGCTGGTTTTTGTTTAGACTGTTTGTTTAAATGCCGTTCAAAAAGAAGTTTCACTGAACATTTACCACCAGAAGCCAACTTGACTAAGGTAAATGATAATTTTGCAGGAAAAGTCTATTTGTACTGTTATTAATATTTTTATCATTTGCTTAGCATCCATCTATCTAAGTCATCTTTACATTGCCAAATTCTTGTTATCTGATTTAAAAGCTACCTATTCAAAGCAATAAATACTGATACCTCTCCCTGCCCCTACCCCCACCCCCCAAAAAAATTTCAACATTTTCAATTCCTCTGCCTTTCAGTAAGCATTGCCAACAACTATGAACAACCCCTAAATATCCCGAACAGGAACCTCTTGAATTCTTAAATTATCTATATACACACAGAATACTTTTGTATTAATGCATTAATCTAAAATTTGTTAAAAGCAATGTTGTTGAGCATGTGTATAAAGCTGTCTCTTTCTTGTTGAATCTGTCCTAACAGCTTGACGAAATACTTAAACAGCCAATAGACATTGTCAGCAATGAAGCACTAGAAGAATTCCATTACCAAAATTAGGTTTGTTTAAAAATGGTTTCACTACATACAATGATACTAATATAAACAGTTAATTACATAATAAATATATATATATATCAGATTGAAGGAGCAGTGCAGGTGGATAAACATTGACTGTAAAGTAATAAATATCAAAACTTTAACTGAACTGACATACAGGCATATAGAGGGAAAATGACAAATAAATGCACTATTGCTTAGTACTAGACCTAGTCCAAAAATGGGAATATCCTGTTGCTACACTACTAGAAAGATTTACCAATAGGCAGCCCTGATGTTTCCTGGTTTCCATATCTAGTAGTCTCTATTTGTAAACCTGAGTTGCTTCTGTAAATATGAGGTTGCCTTTGTACTTAATTATTTAGGAGAACCTTCAATCCATTAAAAACAAAGAGCCTGTGAAAAAGTGTCCATGTTACGATAGAATATTCAAAGACTTGGTTCAAGTCAGCAGTGATGTTGGCTTTGTGTGGTATAGTGCTGAAAACAATGAATATATCGTTCCAGCAATTATCTTCGAGCAGCTGCAACTAAAACATTCACCTCAAGAAAAAGAAAATGAAAAAGAAAATAAGATTGATAATTTAGCCAACACCAAATTATCTAGCATTAGAGGTGGAGTAAAGAAGGTAAGACAACATCTCTGGGAGAATTTAGGTTGTCCAACACTGCTTGCAAATCCATCAGTTTTTAAAACCAGCTGACATGCAAAGCATTTGCAGAAAAGCGGAGGTGCCAAACCTACTGAACACCATAAACTATCTTTTGTCAGCCCCAGAACAAAGCAAACATGTAGTTGAAAAAAATAAATCAAGGGCTGTTAATATCCTCCACATGTTAATGTTTGCCCAGTCTCAGAAGTGCAGCTGGTTTCAACATATAAATGCATCGTTCCTCAGAAGACATGGCCTGAGTGAAAGTGGGCTTACAGCTTTATGGCAAGAGGGTCTCACAGTTCATCCAAGAACAGCATGTGTCATGGCAAAGGTTGTCAGCTTCAGCTATGAGTCGCTATTACAAGGTTGGATAAAGGATGCTGTTTATAAGCGCTCACTTTTAGTATTTATGGTGGATGATTATACCAATATCCACACCATGCATAGGCCCACAACTGAAGTACCCTTGCCTGCTTCCCAAAAGGCAACCCTACTCCTCAAGAGGTATGATGACATTCCAGCCCTACCAGTTGATGAGATGAGCAATGTACACAATCCTGTTGGCGTTGATGAGCAACTCCTTCTTGCTCTCCTAAAAAAGAGAAAATGCCTTAATTCTTAGTATGTCATTTGCTGAATATATGCCTGACTGGATTCGGAAAAGGTTCTTTGACCCTGAATCAGAACGAAACAGACTAGCTTTACATGACTACCAAGAAGATGAAAAAATAGGTCTCTGAAATTCTTTACCCCGTTTCGCCGACCACTCTCCGTTTTTGGCTGATTACATGTTTATACCTGAGCTTATACATCTGATAAAACATCTTATCTTTGCAAATTAAAATTTGTTATATATCGTTGATATAAAAGATGTGATCCGTTGAAACGTTTAGCGTGTAGTGCTCAACACAAGAAATAAGCCTTGTAAACTAACCTCATACTTTTAGTTATACATCGTGTTGGTAAATTCCTTCATCAAGTTAGGAAGCTGTGAACTTCAAAAAGAACTTTATAAAACTTTATCCAATGGCAGGAAATGAGTGTGATCCTGCTTTAGGCCACTGTAGATGTTTTCTCTGCTCCTTTGATGAGAAATAAGTCCTTTGAGTTGAAGTAAAACTTGAGCATTTTGTCTCCAGGTCATCTGCTTGGCTGCAAATCGATGCGTTTTGAAAATGGTAAATATCTTGAGATCTAGACGATGAACAAAAAATCCCAACGACAAAGTTGTAGATTTGCCTTCGCTGGGTTCACTTCAACTGTCGATTTTCGCGCCGAGTGCACCTCGTGTATGCCGGGGAGCAGGGGCGGATGCAGAAAAAAATCTGACATTCGCAAAGTTTCGACCACGCCTATATGACCACGCCCAAAAAAAATCAGTCAAATTTTACTATAGTCTCAGAATCGAAGTTTTCCACTTAAAGATGTATTTTTCCTTATATTAAGTTTTAGGATTAGGAAACAGAAAATGTTGAGGCTCAAAGGTTGAGAAATTTAAGGATAAATATTAAGAATAACAGCCAGGGCTGGATTTCATTGACAATTTGGCATTTTACTTATTGAGTGAACAAGAAAAGAGATCTCTGGAAAAATTTTGAGAAACACTCATCAAGTTTTTGTTGTGTTGGCATGTTTTGTTTCCTACATGTCCATGGAATCCAGATTTTGTGATGGAAAAACAGCAGCAAAGATTTGAAATGTCCTCTTAATAATGATTTAATGGCAAGTCTAGGCACAGAATCACCAATTGTCAAGAACAAAGAGGATGAGCTAAAATAAGGGTATATTAGATGTGTGTATCACCCCTTCTCAGGGAGAAAAACTCATGAAAAACATTTTATGTCACTCACTTAAAAAACAGCCATTTAAAGAAAGGAATCTTAGTTCTATTTATACAATGATATTATTTAACAATCAAATACTGTGTTTAGTGTAGAAATTTTCAATGCAATATCCACCCAAATGTTTGACTTCAACACCAAATACCTTAGGGGCTCAGAGCTTTTCTGTTATTTATTTTGTGCATTCACCTTTCTATCTAAACTGCTGTGTGATGTGCCTTAAACATGGTCAAAAATACCAGTTAGGTCAATACACATCATACAATTTTAGTATTTTCAGGTGTTGGTAAAACAGCAAATGTAACAGAATTTAAAACAATTCATTGTCTTTCCATAACAAGAACATCATAAATATATATTATATACAAATTTTAAATGTACATCAAACAAAGTCAGTAATGGCAAAGAAATAAGGCAAACATGGTAACTTTTACTATATGGATTTATATAAGATGTTTACTTGGCAGAACCAACTTGCTGTGAATTTCTTATTAATAATGTAGTAATTCCCCCATTAGGATCATTCCATTGATTGCACTTATTTACTACCCATATTTACATTTATTTACACACACAATAACATAGAAAAGAAAACTGTCAGTCACTTGAAAATTCATAAACAAAAAATAATGAATCTTAAGGGTATTTCAGAACCAAAAGTTTCAAATGGTATACTCTTATAGTGTGGAAACCACAAATAATTTTACTAGTTTTAGAGGTTAAACTCGTGATACCATATTTATGGCATGACCAGACAAATAAAATCAAAATACTATTACAATTTCTCATTTACAAATATGGCAGTCTAGATTTTTCCAAAACTGACAGCATAAAATTAACAAGAAAAGAATACGCCGTAGAAAATGCAATATCTTATTCAAAAACAAATCCCCAGCACAGTCAAACTATTTACAGGTTTGTGATAATAACAACATCTATCAAAAAAATATCTAGAACTCTAAAATTCAGCATATTCAAATTCATCAAGATATTTATAGAACAGCATCATTCGTCAGAATGCTACATCATCATTATCAAGATATACCTGACTTGAACCCTAAAAGTTCTGATTGACAGCCTGCATAAAAATGGCTATTTACCTTAAAAAGCATCACGTATTCTTCAAAATATTATTTGAGTCTGAATCTCTGTCTAAATAACGTCCTCCATCATGAAAATGAAAACATAGGCAAAATTTTGGTTCAACAATTTTAGGTCCAACTGAACTGTCCTCGCATATTGCCATCCATCAACCAAAATCTTCGACAAACTTTGAACATCTTCATAAGAAATCCGCTGATTCAAATTAAAAATCATCTTATATTTGACTCCTTTCACTCACTCTGAAGTACAATTGCTGCTCTTCTGCAAGCAAATATCTCCACAGCTTTCCAACAACAATCATGGCCGTTGATGTGGAAACGAGGTTTCAATCTGCTCACTTTCCAAGGTTCTCTCCCTCAACTGGCTACCGAACATAGTTCGCATCTACCTTCGCCACATTCGCAAAAAAATTTCCCATATACATTTCCTATTGGTTTTCAGATGGCTAAATAACATAGCTTGACTGACATTCGCACAAATTTTTGGCATACATTTTTCAGTACTACTTCATTTGCGCACGCATGCCTAATATATTATAATTCCATTCGACATTCGCATCAAACCTTATTGGTGCTCTGTGAATTTATGCGTAAAAGGGGGAGCCCTCTTTCGAATATATCATCTCTAAATCACGAAAACGAGGGAAAAAAAACTAAAAAGTAAACAACAAGGTGACATCATAGCAACTAGGGCAGGAAACAAAACTTTTATTTCTTGTATTCTGTGGACCTTTTTTTATTATCTGGCCATTTCTAGTACAATATTCACAATGCTAAAATGTATTAACAGACAATTACAAAAAAGACATGTGGAAATCTGACATTCGCCAGTGCGAATGTTGCGAATGTCTGGATCCGCCCCTGCCGGGGAGGTTAAAAGCCCTGCACCCCTCGGCCGCAGCTTCCCCATTGATTTCTATAGCACGAGGCTAATTTGCATAAATTCAAAATGGTAGCGCGTCTAGTTTACGTTTGAAAAGAAAAGGAAAATTATTCATTGCCATTTTTAAACGATTTGGTTGAAAAGTACGACACTGGATTGTTATGGCAATACAGACCTAGAGATCACTTGACTTCCGTTACGTCAGCCAACTTACATTGCACATGCGCAGTTCATCTAAAATTTGCTGCATGACAAAACTTCGGACAAGTTTTTCATGTTGAAAATTTTCGAGATTTACATTATTATATGGTTTTTTTAACATATCGGGAACATATCAAATTGAAATCAGAATTTCTATATCGAGGTTTGTGTTCGATCTATTCTGAAAGTTGAAAGTTAAATAGATGGAAACAATCTCTAAATGGAAACCGAGGGCAAAGCAAAACCTGACTTACCTTTACGTTTTCGTTTGGTTTTACTTGTTGCCATGGATATGGGTTGTTTTTATGATCCCATCTATAAATCAATGAAACGAATAGAAAGAAAGGGATTTGATGTAGATCATTGAAATGCTACAAATAAAATTCGACTTCTGAACAGTTTTGTATCTCAACTCACACAACATCCGGGTATTTGAATATTGCTCTGTAGCTCATATATGTAGCGAAGACGAGGCCACTTGCAACGACTCCCAGCAAAGGAATTGCCTTAAAGATAATAAAAAAAGACAATAAACAAAATCAAAAGTAATTCTGCGTTAAAGTTTTTAAATGCTTCAGGTAAATTTGCTTGAGTTAAAATCATTAAAAATTTAAAAAGTTTTTGAACAGCCAAATACCAGTCTAAATTTATATTAGATTCTGTTTCCCTAAATGAAGATTGTAACTTTGAGACAAATTTTGAAATCAGGTTCTCCGCAAACAGAAGTACCCTCAATGTATCATTACGCGCTTTTTCTATAAGGAACCATTTTATAAGGAACCTACATGTAAAAAGCCGAAATATTTAAAGAACTTATACTACAAGAAACGAAATCCCTAAGGAATTTTTCGATTTGAAAATTTTTTATAACTGCAAGCACCAAGAACTAAAAAGCTGGTTCCATTCATTTGAAGCCAATACTCGCATAGAATGTTTGATATTGGTATGCTTTATTTTCTCATACGCTGTCTCGCCCCTCTCTCTATGTAGTGTTAAGGCTTATTGTAGTCAAAACAAATTAAGGAACTATTAAGGAACTTTTGGTATAAAAATTTGATGATTTGAGGACTACGAATAAGGAACTTACGGAGCTAGGCCTTGAGGTTGGTTCCTTATAAAAGAAGCGTGTATATGGTATTTACAAAGGAAACACGAACTTTAGTGCGAACTATCGGAATGCTAAAATTCAGTTTGCAAAATTTTTCAGGAATCTATAGAATCAAAGTTTAATTAGCAAATACGTGTTTTTGGTAATAACTTAGAAGATATCGAAAAGTTGTCTTTGTGAAAACAATGTAGAAAAGTTACCTCTGGGCTTCTTTTAATTATCTTTGAAGCGAATGACATGATCATTGTCATAAATAAGTCCGCCTGCAGTTCTACCAGAAACGCATTCGTTGCTTTCGCTGGAAACCTAAACAAGAAACTTAAAGAGCAAGCCTTTTTGTTTTCCATTGACTCACAGCCAGACAAAAGGGCAGGTGTCATTGTATGTCTTCCAAAAAGTTTGCTTCTTAGAAGAACATCTGCACCCGGAAGTCTGCATATCGCTTTTAAATTGATATGGTAGGGTTACAGGTTATTGCTCGATTTTGGCCATAATGTCTCAAGTAGATGCGTGTAAGCAATAAAGGTGCAAGCTGCAATGGACTGTGGATGCGCAGACATAAAAACTCACACAAGAATCTATCGTTTCAAAGAAGAAGCCTCTTTACTGCCATCGACACTCATACTGACAGAAGGGCAGAGGTCATCTTGTCTCATCCAAAACTTTTGCTTCCTAGAATAGATCTGAACCCGGAAGTTTGCATGTGACTCAATTTCGTCCAACTTCGGTCATTATTTCGCAACTCATAGGTTGGTGAGAGCAAAAGAGGGGACAGAAGCAGTTGAGTGTCGGGGGCCGGGGTAGGGGGTCCTTGCCATTGTGTACTCTTGCGTTTGATGCAACTGAATTTGAATTTTTCGTACCTGTATGTAGAGGAATTGTGAGATTCCGGAGTAAGCGGAATGTTACTGATCGCACGTGCAAGGTTCATCCGTAAACCACAGTGTAATCGGGGCAAGTTATTTGAAGCTTAAGGATCAATAAGCCCGTTAAACACAGCCGTTCATGGGATACACGGACGTGCCATGCGATTGAAACTAGTTGTAACTGTAATTGAGACATACGACCACAACCGCAAAGCTGCGACAATCGGCCTAACAAGTCAGGATATTTTCGGACCTCAACTAAAAACTTTGATAAAGAAGTCAGAGAAACTTTCGTTTAAATGAGGTTTCTTTTATTTTCAAAATTTCTGTTAGTTTCAAACATGGTATCATCGTGTGCCTTGAAAGTTTGGCTACTAGAATGTGAAGAAATCGAAAAATTGATGTTTTTAGTCAGATAAGTTTACTGTAAACGTAAAGAAATTGATATGTTTTGTATTTTCATGCAGTACGATATTAGGCTGGTTTTGGAAAATAGTTGCAAAGCTTAACAAAATGCACGCTTTTTATGAGCTACTTTTTAGTATGTTTGCTATGTTTGGATTTTGGTTTAGAACAGCATGAAATACGGAGAAAGAGATGAGAATGGGTCTCAGCATGGCAAAGAAATAGAAGGGAACACTGGCTGTGTTATGAACACTGAAGAACATCTGATGTCTCATATTTGCCCTCTGATATTCATATTTTCATAATCCATCATCAAGGAAAAGTCCTGTTACTTGGCCAATCGGCGAGAAAAAATCCATAGCATCAATGAAATATTATCCTTACCGTAAATTCTCTTTTTAGCACCCCGGGGGCTTATTGTTTTTCAGCGCTTTAAAGGGGGGGGGCTTGAAAGAGAGGTGGGGGGGGGCTAAGTTGAGAGAGGGGGCTTACTAGATATTTTGTAATAAAAAAACCATGTCTAGTGGTAAAAACTAGCTTTTTGTTATTTGCCAAATAAAAAACATCAAATCAGCCATCTATATCAGTTATATTGTCATCGTCATCAAATATTCTAAAATATTTCTTGGGCCATGTCGCCTTCTGAAATCGAGTTTCGAAAAGGTCGACTTCATCCCTTGGAGTAACAATGGCCTGTAATTTTAGACAGGGAATTTTGTAGAAAAAACTAGCAAACTGCCTAGCCTCAAATTTTATTTCACATTCTTATTAAATCGACCATGGAGATTCCAAATCGAAGAAGGGCCAAAAAAAATTATCACCGGAAGTTACTGTTTTTGATGACGTTATCAAAAAAATGATAAAAAATCTTTAAAAATCGGCCAAGGACTCGAACTCAACTTTTTTTGCATTTTTGCACTAAATTAACTATACAGATTTCAAATCTGAGATGAAATGAATAATATCTTGAGCGGAAGTCAAATTTTGTGATGACGTCATCAACTTGGAGAAAATTCACTTTGAACCCTTTTAATTGTTTTCTCGCAACTATCATTGTCAAATATGTTCCATATGCGAATTGCACACATTCAGTGCTTTTAAAAGATGTATTGAATTTCTATTATACTTACTTTTAAACGTTCTTTCATGACGTCATCATCATTTTATGACGTCATCGCCTTTTAAAGGTAATTGAATAACGCGTGAAAGGATGCCTAAAAATCTCTAGCTAGTTAAAAAAGTCATTCAAAATTAAAATTTCGTTGTATAGAAAATGATATGGATCCATTCATCCTTCATCACTGTCTCCTTTGCTGGAACTCCAGAAGAAAATGTAGTTCCACTCATCATCGTCTGCTTTAAGCTGATCACCTCACCATAATTTTTCCCATGGCCTAGTCCTCATTGGTTACGGAATTTTCTTCGATTTCATCACTAGAGCGCTGCAGATCTTGCAGTTTTTTAGCGGAGGGTGTGCGGGGCCCTGCACAATATGAACATGATTTGTGTGAAAAAAATTTTGGAATTATTTTGCTGACTCCAGTATTTTCTGCAGATATTCACAGCTTTTTTAACGTTGAAGATCGGATATTTTTGTCATCAAGCCGTTAAGAAACGTTTTTCTCTGTATGTCCTCTTCGTGCCATTTCTTATTTTTTTATCAAATGTATGTTCAAAATTAGAATATGTAAAGAAATATTTTTCCTAAAAACCACACTAATACCACCTGTAGGCCAGATCATTCTTTCCATCGTATGTCTAACCAAAGCTTAAAGGCAATTTCTCTTACAATCTTCTTTTGATAATGTAACCAATAGTAAATGCTTGTGTCAACCAGTATGGATCTGGTTGTAGAGCTTCTGATTATCTGTTTTTCATTGCCTTGCGAATTCTTACTCTTATCTGCACAAGTGTTTCATCACATTTCCCTTTGTATGATTATTTTTGCACAAATTTTATCGCTTTCGTGAGAATGTCTTTGCAGATTTCCTGTCTCATCGTAACTCTCTCGAGCAATTTTCCCTTTCCAGAACACTCCTAAAGCTTTTTAAAATGTTAGCTTTCCTTACAACAACATTACCGGTGTTGTTTCGCAGCCAATAACTGCATGAACAGCCGGTAGATTTTTGGAACTATCTAAACCCAGGTAAGATACGACGTTCCAAAATTAACTTACTTCTCGCTGTCAATTTTTAAGGAATATTTTCTTGAAGGCTTTTCACACAATAAGCAGAAAACTACATTAGTGTCCTTTCGACAACTAACAAATTTTATCGATGAGGAAAGAATGGAGTATCAAGTGGATGTCAGCCTCTTCATAGCTGCAATTAAGCAAGTATGTCGTGGAATCTTTGATTATCTTTAAGGTTTGTTATTTTTTGGTAAACGTGAGTGCTTTCAAAATTAACTGCTAATGTAAGTACTGTAAAGAAATCATTTAGACCTGTTTGGCTGGCTCTTTTTCACCCTTTCACCCTGAATAATTTCCTGCGGAAAAGGGATGTCTGTTTAATTTCCTAAATTTCTAAAAAAAAAAATTAAATTTAAAATAATTCAGCAAAATAATTCCAAAATTTTTTTCACACAAATTATGTTCATATTGTGCAGGGCCTCGCACACCCTCCGCTAAAAAACTGCAAGATCTGCAGCGCTCTAGTGATGAAATCGAAGAATTCCGTAACCAATGAGGACTAGGCCATGGGAAAAATTATGGTGAGGTGATCAGCTTAAAGCAGACGATGATGAGTGGAACTACATTTTCTTCTGGAGTTCCAGCAAAGGAGACAGTGATGAAGGATGAATGGATCCATATCATTTTCTATACAACGAAATTTTAATTTTGAATGACTTTTTTAACTAGCTAAAGATTTTTAGGCATCCTTTCACGCGTTATTCAATTACCTTTAAAAGGCGATGACGTCATAAAATGATGATGACGTCATGAAAGAACGTTTTAAAGTAAGTATAATAGAAATTCAATACATCTTTTAAAAGCACTGAATGTGTGCAATTCGCATATGGAACATATTTGACAATGATAGTTGCGAGAAAACAATTAAAAAGGCTCAAAGTGAATTTTCTCCAAGTTGATGACGTCATCACAAAATTTGACTTCCACTCAAGATATTTTTCATTTCATCTCAGATTTGAAATCTGCATAGTTAATTTAGTGCAAAAATGCAAAAAAAGTTGAGTTCGAATCCTTGGCCGATTTTTAAAGATTTTTTATCATTTTCTTGATGACGTCATCAAAAACAGTAACTTCCTGTGATAATTTTTTTGCCCATCTTGGATTTGGAATCTCCATGGTCGATTTAGTAAGAATGTGAAATAAAATTTGAGGTTAGGCAGTTTGCTAGTTTTTTCTACAAAATTCCCTGTCTATTTTGGTAAGAAGTTCTCACATGACCCGTGCTTAATGCAAATTAAATTTTTGTCTTCGGATCTGTCGTGACTGGAAGAGACATGGTGTGAATTCGGATTTGATGCGAAGTATTGAACGACCAATGAATAAAATGAAATTCTCTGCTTTTGACAAGTTTACTTATTTCAGCACCAGTGACATTTTTTTTGGGGGGGGGGGGGGGC